GAGTGTTGGAATTTGGTTAGAAGTGACTACACTGAGAGCATTTTTATAAATTCACCATTAAGCAAGGCAAGGCAAGGCAAGGCAGGGTAAGGTTATTATATAGCACCTTTCATACACTGCAGTAATTCAAAGTGCTTTAGAAGTCAGCATACACAAACTGTGCATATGGTAAATAAGTAAGTATTTGACTGATGTCAAATATTGAAACATCTGGGTCCAGCGTAAACTATTTAATTTAATTGTAAAAAAAGAAATGTCTCCAGCAAGTACACTCAACCAAAATATATCCGCCCGGTTTTTTGCCCAAACTTTTTTGCGCAGATCTGAAAACTCTGTCATAAAAATAACATAAGTGGTATTTGTCACTGCACTCTCACAGTTCTTTTTCAGGTCGGAGTCCCCAGATTAAGAGGGGATGAGTGTGGGTGGATGGAGCATATGCTGGCTTACATAACCCCAAAAGCAGTGTGTCAGTGTGGAGGTGCAGCACAGGCACAAAGCACACCACATCGATTTGTACCTGAACAGGTCACAGCATGGGAGGATCAAACTCCCCAGCCGTTCAGAGTGGAGAGCAGAGGAGTTACCTAACCAGACCAAAATACACCTTCACATGCACTGCATACAGCACTGACTGCAGCATGAACTCTCCGCTCAGTTACATTTAGCAGCACCACTTTCAACACACATCACTAGATCCTTAGATAATGGGAGATTTATCTTCCTACCTGCGAGTCTGGGATTTCTAAAGGTTTTACACCAGGGATGTGTTTTATATATATATATATATATATATATTTAAAGCAATAGCTTTGCAAAAAAATCCCTATTTACCCAAATGGAGCATATCAATCAAGACATTTTGGTGTCTTGCTTTTTAAGCTTTGCACTGGAGCTATGAGGCTAATGTAGCTAACAAGTAATGGAAGCTTATTTAATAACAGTGTAACAATACATCATGACATTGTGACGTTGCAATGCAAAGATGTGACAATACCCCATGGAGAACAGAGTTTGTTTCTTTTTTATTACTCTATTTTTCCATTCTTCTGCTATTTACTATTATTCTATTTTTTTCTCTTCTCAGTAACGGCTTCTTGACATCTGCACATCCTTTCAGACCCACAGTGTTCTCACAGTGGAAGGATGGACAGAAACACTTGTGGATTTTTTCAGATCTGAAGCAAGAGTGGAGCTTGACTTTCTCCTCTCTCTCTCAAGTTTATCTGATCAGTTTACTGTTTATCTGATGGTGACAGTTTTTGCGCTCTATCCGGTCTTGCACGTTGCTAGGAGTCCTATTTTCTCTATATCTTTTAATACTTCTTTGAACTCCAGCTTTGGAAACTTGTGTTTTTTCACTTATTTTCCTTTGACATTCCCCTTGCTTATGGTAGTGGATTATTTTATATCTAATCACCTCAGAAAAATCTCCTGAAATATAAATAACTTGGCTGATTTGACAGGAAATTAAACAAAAAAATACATTTTAGCAGTATCAAAACCAGAAATACCAGCAGAAACTCGCCATGAGTCACAATTTGAGACTGTTTGTTTGAATCTACTGTTTATAAACAGTGCTAATGTATAAATAAGCAGCAAAAAAATCATGTTTCAGCTTATTGATTTAGACCATTTATACACTTATAACTCATATTTGATCTGCAAATCTGAGATCTCAAAGTGTACCTTTAAAGTGGTTTTTGCTACAAATTCTTCACTTAATTGATTCAAAAGGACATATTTAAAGTATGATATTCAAAGAACCACAATCGAACCTGCTTTAGTCATTAGCCAACGCTCAAGTTGCGCTAATCTTTAAAAAGCTCTGTGTAAATCAAGACCTCAAGCCAAGAGTGTCCAGCCGAGTCAGTTGAACTATCAAAGAGAAAGAGCTTAAATTGGAAATGATAGCAGTGTTAGCAGCATAACACCATCTGCATTATCCGATCCTCTTGCATTTCCTCTCAGAGATGACTAGATTCCTAAAGTGTGTGTGTGTAATGCAGTCCGAGCTACTGACAGCATCAGCACCGGAGCCGGATGAGGATGTGGAGGATGGATGGCCTCAGCCCCACTCCCAGCTCAGACAGAGTCATTTAAAGCCTAGATTCATCGCTGCTGCAGTGGGCCACGGGACTGAAATGGAGGTTAAATGTAATTGTTTTCTAGCTGCATTGATCTCTGTGTTTTTAGTGGGTTACCTTGCAGCATAGAAGATGGAGAAAGTAAAAGAGAATGAGAGAGGAAGCACTGGGGCTCATAATGATGCATAGCAGCAGGTGAAGTGAGTGGTGTGTGCATGTGTGGGGGACCCTGGAGACTTTTCCTTCCCAGTGCAAAGTGCTCCCATTTCTCTGCTTAACGTGGTTAATGAGGATATTCTCCCCAAAGTAGACCACCACCCAGCATAACACATTCATCTCACATATGTACAGACACACACACCTGAATACGTACTCTCACTTCATCTCTTGCTTGATTGCTCTCACTCTCTCTCACACACACACACACAAACATGCACATACAAACACACTTTCTGTACATACATTGTCTTAGAAAGGACAGTAGGGGAGAACAGTGCACAACCTAAAGCAGGGTAAAATGTAACATGAATATTTTATGCAGTAAAACTGCTTTTGGTAAACTTCTCGCTTTCTCATAGCCTTACCTGTGAGTTTTTACAGTAATTGGACAGACATCTCTCAAGATTCACCCTGAAGACGGTTTTTGTACCATAAAGTAACTATTTTCATCATGAGCGTTTCATGATTATTGAGTTGTGTGTATGTCACAGAATTCATGCTGTTTCAGAATTCACGTTGTTTTAATCATCCTCGTAGTAGCTGTAATATAGCTCCACTCTGAAGTATGCAAATAACTCACAGCAAGAGCTAGTCAGGGTAAAGTATGGCCTCCACATGGTTAATTTTAACACAATATTACAACTAAACCTCCCCAAATAAACAATAAGAGAAATTCATATACCCCCACATGAAAAAACAAACACACTAGAGAGGTAATCTGAATAAAACGTCTTTCAATGGTGTCCTGCTGATATTTTCTGCTGTACTTTGTAGTCAAAAATACAGCTGCCACGTTTGACATAGTCTCTATGACTAATCTCTATCACTAATCATACAGCATTTAGGTTTGAAAGCTAATTGGTTTTAGACAAAATTTGTATTGAAGTAATTGTATTTGCATCAATTTACCAAACATTTTAGCTTTTTAGACTGTTACAACTAGCCCCACAGTGTGTTACAATGAACCCCTTTTATAGGGTAAGTTACAACGAAAGCACTCACTCCTAACAGTACGTGATGGAAGCAAACTTTATGTTTGTAGCAGAGGTGTGGAGACTACTTGTGTAAAAATATATTAATCCTGCTCAAACAATTAAAAATATTTAGCAAACTCCAAAATGTATAAATGCACAAAATATGTGATCTAAAAGGCAAAAACATGCATATTCTAATAGAGTGAAACTGGCTATTCTAAACCTAATCCATTTCTGATCCTTTTTTGCATTCTATTTATGTCACTTAGAGTTAAACAGAGTCACAAACTTATCTATATTATTAACTAGGTTAATAAAACAGGCTACATGTCTATTTTGTGGAACTACTTTTAATTGAGAAAATGAAAACCTATAATAACTCAGATGCCAGCAGTTTGACAGGGGTTAAGCTAGCTACCTTTCATCAAAACAAGAGATGTAAATAATTTTGATCTTTTGATCTTTTAACTGGCAAATAAACAACTGTTAGATCAATACTATCAGTTAAAAATGTTTCAATAAATAACAGTTTCTATTAAATAGGCAGGTTTATCATTCAAGTTGAGCAACACTTTTTTAACTGAACATACAAAGGAACAATAGGCAACTGGCTCCCCTAAAGAGCCTACAAATAAAATGAAGCATGCAACCAATAATAGGGGTGTTCGAGACCGCAGCAGTGTTTTTAGAGGACGATAGCCCTTGCACTACAACTACTGCATACCATACGGAAAGCAAATATCCACAAGAAAACTATTTTACCAAATTTTTCCAAGAGAAAGGAAATTTGCCAAAATCTGCATCTGTAATCAAAACATAAGAGTGCTGCTCTTATATAATAAGCGGTGAGCATAACAGCGCATTCAAGGTTGACAGAAACATGTATTTGGCGTTGTTCATATGTTAAAGCACGAAAGATTTGTGCAAACTAAGTTCACACTCCCACTCCATGCTCCAGACTAGAGTGTGAGTGAGTGAGGAGGTGGTGTAGGAGGTGGAGGCAGTGAGGGTGAAATGAAACACAGAGCTGCCTGCTCTCTCTGAGTCCTTACATTCACTCCAGCTGGAGCGGCCCAGCAGCCTTTAGGGCAGACTGAGTCACAGTCCAGCCCACAGGGCCTACGCTGCTACAGCACCACACACATACACATATACACTCACCCACAGCTACACACAAAGCAAGTCTGTTTAGAGAAATGCCCCATCTGAGAAAGACCAGTGTGTTGGTGCTTCCTAAATTTACCCCGTTATATGTGGGTCAAGGAAAAAGAAAATTAAAAGACAGAAGTGAAAAAAAAAACAGGAGTCAATAAATGTAAGGAAAAAATACAAATAAACTAAACTAGTGGTGCACCATGCAATGAGCCAAAAACTGAAACCTGAAAAAAGTTGACAATAAATAGTAAACATAAAATAAACTTAAACTAAAATGATTACAGTATGTAGCTTACAGTACGTCCAATATGTGACAGAGAAAAAAAGGACTATTTTATAAAAAGAGTACTCTTCAAATGCATCCATTTACCTGTGTTTGTGCATGTTTTATTGACTGACTGACATTGTGATAAACAGCTAAAATGCTTTGGCAATACTTGATATGGACCCATCAGTAAACTTTCTTTGTGCTGAGTTGTGAAAAAGGAATACAGACCTTTCACTGTAAATAAACATAAACTTTCACCAGTGTGGAATGCTTTTTTTTGTGAGAAGAGGACAATACCTAATGCTACTCTGGCCGCAGATGCATCATAGTTGATCCAGAAGGAGACCCAGGACAGGATGGTAATCAGGATGGAGGGCATGTACGTCTGCAAGATGAAATAGCCAATGTTCCTCTTCAGCTTAAAGCTTAGAGACAGCCGTGGATAGGCACCTGTGAGAGGGAATAACAGAGAGAAAGTGAGAGAGAGAGAGAGAGAGAGGGAGAGAGGATAAGAGACACGAGGGGAGACAGGCTATTTATTTCAAGGAGCGAGGAGCCATACTTTATGTTTTGTTTCAGTTTCTATGGCAATGGCTGTGCAGATTGCCTCCATCACTATGGCAACAGTAAATCGTGGTAGAATAAATTGTTTGTGATTTGTTGTACCTCGGCCTTGAGCACTACCACCACAATGGAGGAGAAAAAACAATGATTAACTTCTTCGAAAACATGTTTAATGCTGATCTGACATTGTGGCAAATCAAACAGGTATGGTAGCTTTCATAAAAAAGTAAATCTCTGCAATAGTAACTTTTATAAGAGAAAGAAACAGTCTTCACATCCGTAAACATCCTGAACATCAAGCTTACAAAAGCTTGAAACGTTTGCTTGACAAAATTTCACTTAGTTTTATATGAAACAATACAAAAGGGAAGCTGGCATTTTAAAACTGTAAAAAATAGCTGTGAGGTTTATGACGTAAAAATATAGTCATGAATTATTAGGGTTTCTTATGACTTTGATGCTACGCACAACATGCTATATGATGTAAAATACTATTCCGTACATATGGCAGCTTGTGTCAACTGAAAAATGCATTCTCAGCACTGCCACTGCCGTGTTACATGACAACATATGTGGTAAACAAACCTTTCATACTAAGCCTAGTTCTGTTCAGTTTCTGCTTCAAGAACTTCTCACACATCAAACAGCCCACGTACAGAAACCACACACCCATATTTTACTTGGAATCGGGACACGGCTCATTTGTTTGATGTGAGGATTCCTTCATTGATATTTCAGGGTAATATTTGCATGTGCATACTGCATTTCCATTCTTTTCTCAATAAAGAGGCCAGGCTTCGGCTTCATAGCCCCCTTATCCTTCTCCTCCTCTTCTCTGGAGTTCAAACAACAAACCCGTGATTCTTTCTATTCCCCTCCAATATGTGCAGAGGGTGGTGAAGCCCCGTTAATTCAGGAGTGGGAATAATCATTACTGCGCTGCTTCTGTGAGTGCCTCAGCTTTAGATGGGAATAATTTATGCAGTGGGTCCTCTGCCTCATGAATATATGATGCCTTGTATCAAGTGCTTCTCTTCTCCTCTCTTGCTCTCTTTTTCTCTCTTCTTCTTTTTAACAGCTTGAGGAAACAGAGAAGTAATTGCCCCTCCATTACCATTGGCTAAGCTAGTGTTTCTATGACAAGAGGTTAGATGCATGATGCGAAGCCAGTAATTAGTCCTGCCTTTGAAAAAAAAGTGCTTCATGAGTCCTCCTGAGAGTGAAGAGAGAGGAAGAGAGAGAGTGAGAGAGAGAGAGCATGTCCACAAACACCTTGCAACAGTAACACCCTTGTGAGCCGTGCACCGCACTGCAGTGTGAATTTCACAGGGAAACACACACCGGGGTAAACAGAGGCCAGGGGTCTTGTAAGGTGAGGACACAAACAGGTGAAAAAGGGAAGCCAAATGTGATTTTCAGAGCCATCTGAGGACACTTACAAGTGGATTTGTCACGGTTCCTCTCTGAATTAGTGAAACTGAGACTAAATGGGCTTCTCAAACAGAAGCATTCTTAAATGACACAGGCAAAACAAGTCAGGCTGTCATCCTTCCACAGTGAAAGTGGAAACACATGAAAGAAAAAGCCTTTTAAATCAAAGTTTTTCAGAGAGTTGGACTGAACATAGCCAGGTTACAGACCTCAAATGAGAGTGAACGTGCTCATTCATTGACAAATAAACATCATTGTTGTAAAGCTTACTTAGACACATGTTGTTTAGACTTGTGCATAGTTATAGTAACTGCAATGCCTTACCTGTGGAGAAGACAACGTTTCGGGAGACCAGTTTGTAGTCAACAATGGAGAACTGAGGAAGTTCAATTCGGGACACTCCGGTCACTGCGTTGTCTCCTCCTTTCCAGTAGAACTCAATGTCGTCAGTTGTGTAGCCATCTGACCAGCAAACACATCCACAAAACACATCCACAAGCATCAATGAGTCACCTGTGCATCATAGTGCTTAAAGACATTTTAAAAGACATAATTTTATGCTTCTCTAAATGTACGTTCATCATCCACTTTATTACAACTCACTGTTCACTTGAGGTCCACTTATGTTATAGGTTCACTGTATAGATGTACAACTACAGACTGCAGCCCATGTGTTGTCATACAAAATCGACTGGCTACCCTCTACACCATACATCATTGCCCAATTTCTAACCACAGTACCCATTATAGACATTATAGTGCTGTGAAAAACAATTTGCCCCACAACTGATTTCTTCTATTTTTGCTAATTTGTCACATTTAAATGTTTCACATCATCCAAAAAATTACTACAAATGAAAGACAACATGAGTAAACACAAATCTTATAACTGGTTGTGCCATTCTTTGCAGTTACAACTGCAATCAAATGTTTGCGATAACTTGCAAGGAGTCTTTTACATCACTGTGGAGGAATTCTGGTCCACTCTTCTTTGCAGAATTGCTTGAATTTGGCTACATTGGAGGTTTTTCGAGCATGAACTGCTTGTTGAAGGTCTTGCCAAAGCATCTCAATGGGATTTAAGTCAGGACTTTGACCTTCAAAACCTTGAATTTGTTTCTTATGAGCCATTCAGAGTTGGACTTGCTTGTGTGCTTCAGATTATTATCCTGCTGCATAACCCAACGTCGCTTAAGCTTTAGGTCACAAACTGATGGGTGGATGTTCTCCTTTAGAATTTCTTGATAGAGAGCAGAATTAATGGTTTCCCCAATTATGACAAATCATCCAGATCCTGCAGAAGCAAAGCAACCCCAGACCATCACACTACCACTGTAATGCGACCCATGTCTTCCAAAAAGTTCCACCTTTGACTATCAGACCACAGAATATTGTCCCAAAAGTCTTTGGGGTCATCTAGATGTTTTTGTGCCTTTGTGTTCTTTTTGGTAGGCAATGGTTTGTGCCTTGAAACTCTTTCATGGATGCCATTTTTGCCCAGTGTCTTAGTTATTGTGGAATCGTGTACACTGACCTTAACTGAGGCAAGTGCGGACTGGAGTTCTTTAGATCTTTGTCTAGGTTATTTTGTGACCTCCTGGATGTGTCGTCAATGCGCACTTGGTGAAATTTTAGCAGGCTGGCCACTCCTGGGAAGGTTCACCACTGTTCCAAGTTTTCTCCATTGCGGATAATGGCTCTCACTGTGGTTTGCTGGTGTCCCAGAGCCTTAGCAATGGCTTTGTAAGCTTTTCCAGACTGGTCCCTTTTAATGATTTTGTTTTAAATCTATTCAGAACGTTGCATCATGTGCTGCTTTTTGAGGCCTTCTAGCCTTCAGATTGAAAGACAGATCTGGCAGCAATCATGTCTGGGTGTCGATAGGGAAATGAAACCCAGCAGTCAATTGAATTTGGTTAACTAGTTGATTTATTAGCTACAAGGGCAGTTACGTTTTCACACAGGTCCAGGTAGGGCTGAACAGCATTTTTCCTTCAATAAATTAAATCATTTATCATCATTTAAAAAACAGTGTTTACAGTGAAAAACAGTGTTTGTGTTTACTTAGGCTGTCTTTATCATATTATAATATTAAAAGTACTCTAAACACTCAAGTGTGACTAATATGCAAAAAAAGGAAGAAATTAGGAAGGGAAATGCTTTTTCACAACACTATATGTTTGGTAGTGTGTGTAGTACAATATGATCATTAATGTATGGTCCTAAATATATCTGAAAGGTATAACATATTCACTTTCCCAGGCACACATTTGTACCTATTATTATCTTCACGTTTTCAAAAAAGAAAAATAAAGTAAAATGCCTGGAGTCAGGACAAGGTGTATGGAGTCAAAACAACAATTTATGTTACCTAACTAAAGGTACTGAACACGTACCTTTGAGGGTACCACCCCAAGGACAGAAGTCCACAGAGGTACAGGAAGCAGGTAAGGTTCATAGTTAGACTATTTAATGTAGTACACTGTATTTTACATCACTGCCATACAGTCAAAGAACAGAATCAATTATTATTATTGTTATTATTATTATTTCAAAATCTACTCATAAGCAACACACAACTGCTAGCCATGTCGCTGGCTGTGACTAAGCTAAATATGCCAAAGGCAAGAATGACTGAGACACATCATACAGAACCTCTCTCAGCACCCTACAGCTACAACTCTTTCAGACTAGACTGCTTTTGACTGAGCAGTGCAGGAGCTCTGGGTGTGTGTGTGTGTGTATGTGTGTGTGTGTGTGTGTGTGTGTGTGAAGGGAGAGGGCACTCACAGCTCTCTATCTCCAGTGTGCAATTTTGTTCGTCCAGAGGATACCTCCTCAGGTCCATCATGCATGCAGCTGTCGTGGTGATTCTACATCATAGACACAAAGGTGTCAGTGTGGAAGACAAAGCAGCAAAACACAAGCACACACACACATAGAGTCAACATACAGAAAGAAGAGATAATTCAGTATAGTTCATTACAGTCATTACACCCTCTATAATTTATTAAATATAAGTTATTAATTAAGTTATTATTATTAAGTTTTTATTAAATTATTAAACATTTTTCAAGATATATTTCTGAGAAGATTAGACTTGCTTAAAGAAGGAGAAAGTAAATATTTGTGAAATATGAGGGAAAAAAACAAGTTTCCAAAACTGGAGCTCAAAAAATTATTAAGAGTATTCAGAAAATGTGACTCCTAACAAACGTGCAAGACCTGGCTGACCACCAACACTGTCACTATTAGACAAACAGTACTTAAAGCTTTCAACTTTGAGAGACTTTGAGAGAAACTCCACTGTTGCTTCAGATCTGAAAACATCCAGATGAATGTGAAACATGGAACAAAAATCACTGTATTCATAATTTTTGTAGTATTTTTAAATATGATACTACTGTTAATTTTTTTTATGCTCCAACATATCAAACCTCAGAAAACCAAATATTGGGATACATATACGTGTATCCTGAAAATGTCTTCAAGTATTGTTATGTTATACATTTGCCAGCACTGAAAAAAAGGACTAAAAATGAATATCTTGTACTCATTTTAATGGCCATTTTGACTGAATATGAAATAAATGAAGAGTGGTCTCTGACTTTGCACAGTACTGTCTACTCATGCTTTTATAATTACTGAGTGACTGTGTGACTTTACGCAAACACTTTTACCTAAGAAAGGGATTAGGAGTGTGTGTGTCTGTTTAGGTGAAACACTCAGGTCTCCTCTCTGTGTCAGTAACAGAACACATGAGTGAACAGAAGAGCCATTATCATTCCTCCCAGCACCTCTCTCAGCACCAAGAGCTCACTATAAAAATCCCTATAACACACACTGCCATGGGGGACAGCCAACACACATACACACTCCAACCCCAGTTACCACAGTGAAAGCATGTTCCACTTTATACACAAAAGACTTTCAGAAGGATGCAGTGGCAGTAGGTTACATTTTTTGATAGCATTCAAATTTGTTCACAGAAAATCCAAACACATTTTACATCAGTTTAGGATTAGAAGTAAAAAATTAGCTTATGGATACCAAAAGGCTTAAATGAGGTTGAGAACGTATCGGACATACAGGGAAACAGTGGGACTCTAACAACAAAAGTTCCCCTTTATCTATCATCACTGGGAAGTACCGGGGAAGCTGTCTGTGACTTACAATGGGCCACAATAAAGAGCACTTCAGCAACAAGACTGAGAATTAGGGCTGCACAATATATTGCTTGTTAATCATTATTGTGATCTTGGCCTTTGCAACTGCAAACAGCTGCAATATGCAAATTAGACTCTAACAGATCGCAAATGTTTTACTGCACATTGTGAACACTATGACCAAGTCTCAGATGATCCAGATGAGTTTCTGTGAGTGTTCTGATGCCTTCAAACCATATAAAGTGTAATTTTCTGCCAAGAGCTCAATTTTCCCAACTTCTGCCATCAACTGCAGCAGTGAAATAAACTGGATGTAAATTTTGTTGGGAGCCAAGGATGCTAAAAATCACATTCCATGGCATATAATTCACTACACAAACTAAGGCGAATAATCGTGAGATCACAATCGGAACATCTAAGAACACATTCATATTGACAGTGAATTTCAACCATATAGTCCAAGTCTACTAAGAATGATATGAAAAAAGCAGAAAACCATTAGATCATGCCTTGATAAAGAGTTGTGCAGTCATTCCCAGCTCTAAATAATATGATCTCGCAAATAACCTGCTCGGTCTTACACCCATTGGATTACATCGCCATATTCACATCACTAATCTGTCTGTGAAGCAGTCCATTACAGTGCGCACGGTAGGCTACACTGTTAGAACTGATTGACTGCTAACTCTGGAAAGTCTGCAAAGCATACATTTCATTGCACCTGTACTTGTTCTAGTTACATTCCAAATAAACCTCCAACCTTTGAAGCCTTCATACTGTATGCCCCCACCCTCCAAAATGCTTTTGAACTAAATCTAGAGCAGACCACACACATATTCACCATTTTGTATGACTGCAATAAACAGCCAAATATAAAAATACAAAAATGCAGTTTGCTGATTCAGATTCATGTCACAGCTGCTTTTTTTTTTAGTAATAAATGCTTTTTTTAAGAAGGTTGTGTTTTTGGGCAGACAGATACAGTAAGAGAGACAGAGAGGATGAGAGAGAGAGAGAGAGAGAGAGAGAGAGAGAGAGAGAGAGAGAGAGAGAGAGATGCACAGTCAACTCAAGGGAAATTAAGCACATCTCATTTCACAATTGCTGTGGTCACATGAAACCCTTCCAATCTATCATCTCATCTCTCACCAAATGAGAGCTTGGACTTTAATAACAAGCTGATTTGTTCTCTCTATGAGATTTGAGATTTGAGGCTTGCATTTATGAGAGAGAACTAATCCTAGAATGCTCATATTAGCTAGACAGAACATATAACACTTACAAGGGTGATGAACATGGGATTAAAACATCAATCTGCAAGCTGGAGGTTTTGACTAGCATCTAGTTGACATTTACAGCATTTAACAAACACTCTTATCCACAGCAACCTAAAAAAGTGCTTTGTTGTCCACTCAGAGAACATATCCTAGCTAGTACACTTAAGAGTCCAAAGTACCCTTGAGCTAAGACAGCACCTAATGTTTTCCAATTAGAAGGTGAGTACAGTGAAAAATTTCCAATAGACCATTCTACCAAATTAGTTCAAACTGCAGTCCCACAGTAAAAATAAAATAAAATAAAATAAAAACAATAAAAACCCGTAACATTACATAATCAGACCTTAGATATTTACAAAGATTATGTTACAATCTATATTACGATTGCTGTCCAAAGAAAAACATCTCCAAAATAGGAGAAGGCAAAAACACTCTTACCTTTCAATGTAAGTCAATGTAAAGAGGTTTTATTCCAAGTGATTTTAGAACATTTCTATTGGTTCATTCTTTAGAAAACTTTCACACAATATAAAGGACAGCTGGTGTGTTGAAATGATGTAGAAAATTGAAAATTGACAAAAATGGAGATTGTTTATTGTTGGACAGCGATGATATACTTACATTTATACATGAAATAACATATTTTTTGTTTATAGTTTTTGTTTAGTGATCTTTTAAATTTCTTTTGAAGTGAAATTGGAAGAACTAGATTTACCGTGAGCTTAATTTCTAAATATTAAAACTTTATTTAAAAAATGCTGTCTTATGTTTTCATGTCACTATGAAAACACAAGAAGTTTAAGTCCATAGATGAAGCCTTATATTCGCCACACCCCTGCATATTAGAGCAGGAACAGAAACTGCATCCCTGTCCCTCATGGCCACATGTTAAGCAGTCTGAGTCAGTGTGTACCATTAAGAATTGTCACTACTGAAACACATAATTTTTGCAATTAAGTAAATGTTTCTGTGTTTTAATATAATATTATGATTTTATTTGTGTACAATAGTTTAAAGCTGTGTTTGCTAGTCTTGTACTAGAATTAGCTAAAATTGTCACTAAAAAACAGTCACTACTGAAAAATTTGTTTCATTAGTGTTTGTTTCGGTAGTGTTATGACTGTTTTGTTAGTGATAAAATGGAAGGTTTAATCAATTGTTTTCAAACACAAAAAATTAAAAAAAATATATAGGCTCCTTCAAAGCAAAAGTCCAAGTCAGTTAAAAGTCTGAAATGTGTTTTAACCTCTGACTTTGAACCAAAACGGTAAAATGATCCATATATCATAACAACTTTGTTGTTCAGTTTAATTTACTTTTTGCAATGGTTGCGTTTAGGTATTTGTATGGGTACTCAGTTAACCATTCAAGGTGCCGGTATTCATAAAGTGAAATCACTATTTGTATTTAATTTTATTGTGGCAAGATGACAAAAATATACAAACAATACAGTGAAACACTTCAAATTTTAACAGAAAAGTAAAATGTGGCAAGTTCACTCATACTTGCATGTAAGTAATGTTGTTCCTTTTTGCTACTACAAAATATGAGTGACTAAACATGAGCTCACTGCTGACTCCTTGTTAAGGATTTGACTGAGAAGGCAGGAAGAGCGCTAGGCTAGGCAACTAGGCTATCTAAATTAACTGATGTTAGCTAGGTCCAGAAACTTTGAAAATATGCCTCTCTGATAAACTAACATACTGCCACATCGTTCGCCTGTAAGAAGACGACGAGTCCTTAACAGCATCCAGTGTACTGGTTTGCTCTGTTAGCTTATTAGCTCATCTGAAGCGGCAGCCTCCGTTTCTCATCCGCCATAAAAAACAGTTTCCCTCAACTATTTCTGAATAATAAAACATGTTTTCAAATGTATTCCTCTGAATGCTTCAAAGTGTTTGCGCAACACCAGTTAAACATGACACCTAAAAAAAAAAAAGCCTAACCCTACATTAAGGTTGGCTAAAGTTTTTTCCGTTGTTTTTTCCTTCACTGTGATTAACTGTTTATCCATTCACTAACTTTTATGGATGCTTGAATATCAAAATTAGTCAAATTGCACATCCCTAATTGTGTTGATATTATATATTTTATCCATCTGGAAATGATGAACACATTTTCATGAAGTAAATTCAATGGATCAATTTTTAGTGTATACTGGTCCTTGACTTCCAGGTGTTTTTAAAGCTACAATATTCCGCTATACCACTATTCCACTACAAGAGACAAGAACATTTCGGAAGCCCATGGCAATGCTTCCGACGCATCAGTTAAAGAGAAGCCCTCATGCTTTCATTTCAGAGCTATACTAATGAGAGAGCACTCACATGCATTACCATACATGCGTAAGCACTCTAACTTTAATGGCTGTGGCTCAGAGAAACAAATAGCCCCTCCCATGAACCCAGCTCTATCAATTCAATTCCTTCTTTTGCATCAGTTTATTAGGGACAGTTTCCAATTGAGCTGTGAAAGAAAAAAATGTTTGGGAGATCACTAATGCCATATTCAAATGTCACACAATAAACTGTTATGAGACATAAAAAGTCCTGGCTATTCGTGCACAGTGCATTACCGTGTGGCTATGTTAGTGTCTGAAAGCTTATCTGTGAGATGAAAAGCTAAATCAAGCTACGCTCTCTTGCTCATCCTCCTCCGCTATGGCTTGAAATAGGGGATGGAGACACACCCAGGCTCTTACATGTCAGCGTGAGCAGAGCAGCTCGTTTAGCATCGAAACCCTGATAACGCTAAAGGGCTCTAATGAGATAAGGGCACACATTAGCGCTTATGTAATTTAGCAGCCAAGTGCGCTGACCAGAATAGGACGCTCTCTGGCAATACATCAGTATGTTCACTCAGTCGGGGGCATCACAGGTCCCTTCCCTAAATAGTTTTCACTTATTTATGTATAATAAAAGGATTTTACATTGGCCTCCCAAAACATACCTCCATGAAACTTTTCACAATCCTTCATATTTCATAGCTTATCCATTTAAAGATGTGTAAAGATGTTTTTCTTCCATTTGGTAGACCAGTGTCACATGTAGTCTTTGTTAAAAACTCAGTGAAACCAAATGAATAAAGGTTAGCTGAAACTGTCTGGTACTGAATATGTAGGCATTTGAGGGCAACAATGTTTTCATATCCATAATACACAATTATTGAGTGTCTATTAATAGATGCTTGTTCAGAAGTGCATGTTTTTCTCTTCTAGTGGACATTATTTCCTTCTCTTTACATAATCCATTTTTTCAGACAAGTGAGTTAAAATATAACAAAATGTACAAAAGTTGGGAATCAACTTTTTGGGGGGGAATCAACAGTTTTTGCTATTTTATATACAACCGTTACATAAAAATGCAAATTTTAATATTATAAACTATTTGCCAGAAGGTATTTTTATATGTTTTACCAAACATTTCAATATTTAAATAGGGATGCATCAATTCGACTTTTTTCAGACTGAGTACATATTTTTTGGCACTTGCCAACAGCGATTCTGATACCATACTGCGTAATCTACTTAGAGTAGTTGTTAGTGTGAATGAGTAACCTACTTGGAGACGTTAGTGTGAATGAGTAACCTGCTTACAGAAGCTGTTAGTGTGAATGAGTGCGACATAACAGTTAAATTGTTAAAATCTAGGAGAGTTTACATGAGTTTAAAAGCATCAGCTAGCTATGCTACCTTAATTACCCTAAATTGAGTAGTGTTGCAGTGGAGAAGAGTGGGTTTTGTTCCACGTCAAAAAGTGCTTCTGTACAGCTGTAAGTTAAGTACAGTTTTGATCCCTGCTCCTCATCTGTCTCTTTCAACAACAGTCTCTGTAGCACAGTGACAGCAGGAATCACATCTAAGGCATACGAAGAGCTCACTTGTCAAGTTTTACGTCTTGTTTGGGTCATTTATTTCGCTGGCAGAGCTGTAGTTGAACGTCCAAAAAAATTGTCCAGGACAAAATCACACAGTAAATGTCTTGTGTGAATAAGGCAAGATGTTTAAAGTGACTGACGGCTTTGTGTCCAACTGCCACAGTATCAGCATCACTTCACCTTGAGAGCAGACCCTTGTTCACTGCCAACTTGAGCTGTTTGTTCAGTAGCATGGCTGCGCACGCTATGCATACGTTACATGGTATGAGGTGGTATTGGATGTTGCTGCTTTTTTATGAGTATAAGTATATGAGTATGGTATCAGATGGATACCCAATAGTAGTATCAGTATCGATGCATCCCTAATTTCAATTTATTAAATGATAAATAATATAAGGTAATTTTCTGACTATACATTTTTTGTATGTTGTCTGCCTTTATATTTTATCTTCACTTTTAAAATATGACTTATTCTGAATATTAATTTTGTTATAACTTAATTCTTGAGGCTTTACAATTTTCTCAGTCATTTTAGAGTCTTCTACAGCTCTGTTCATTATTCTGGATTTCATTTTTAATTTATTTACAGCTTTCGATTGTCCTATGAAGCTGTGAAGTTCCACAGGACATTTCATACACTTATATGCAACCCAACTGGCTTTGTTATAGAAAACATTTATTCCAAACTCTGGAATGGTAGTGTGTTTTATTTTATTATTCTGTTATTTCCAGTATAATATGTGGATAGTTTTATACTATTATGGCAGTTTGTAATCAGTTTATGTGAGAGTGAGGTAGTCTGTAAATATTCGAGGTACGCTGCCAAAACAAAAAAGGTAAAGGTTAACCTGACAGTGATACTAGAGTTCAGCAGACGCATAAGTTCTTACCTCAGTCCATAGAGGACCGTGCCATCAGGATGCAGGCGGATCATTCGGTTCTTCACAGTCACACCATGGACAAAAGACTTCTTATCGTTAAGGAAGTATGTATCAGGGACCCAAAGCTGGTCGGCCACCCTGTTGTCAAGGGTTAGGTTGAGAGGGATTCCAGCATATGCTAGTCGCTTATCCCTCCAGTACTGCTGGAAGTACATAGTCAACGTGTAGTCCTGGAGGATGAGAGAAAGATTCATAAATCAGTGAACAGGAATGATCTAGGAGAAAAACAAGGTAAGTCAAGTTTATTTATAAAAGCCAACACTGAGCAAAAATGTTTTACAGCCTTGACGTAAATAAATTCATTCAGAGTGATTTGATGTGAAATGGGGCATTGTAGAGAAAATTACAGACTCGGATTTATTTACATTGGTGGTGATAGGAAGCTGGTGGTGATGTAACCATCTTATTTACTATTCAAAATAACTAGTGAACCTACACTTGTCTTCTGAGTTTTTATATGGTGCATTATCCATATAAAAACTCCATTATGGTGATTAGCAGTATATATGAAAATTTGAATTTGAAATTGCTTTCTATAGGTACTATTTGCCATACAAGTCATTGCTTGTACCTCTCCACCATGAATTTAATGTAAAAATATGTTTTAGGCTAAAACGTTTTTCTTGAAACTTTTGCAAAACTATGTTCTAAGCAGTGGGCAACAAAGGAATTACACAGAAATTTGGTTGAATTCCCCTTTAAAACTAGGGCTCAACCAATATATTGGTTAGCTGATAGTATCAGCCAACACTCTCAGAAAAAAAGGTACTAAATCGTCACTGGGGAGGCATCCTTCTTTTCACTGGGGCAGTACCCTCAGTACCTTTAGTTAGGGAACATAATGTCTCATATTCCATTGTAGTTAGATTTTTTGAAGTTGTCTTGACTCTATACACTCTGTCTTACTTAAGGTACACAGTTGGACCTTAAACCACTGTTGTACTTTAGAGAGTACAACAAATTTACATTGTTTGTAATCTGATGAACGAAAAATGCACCTACACAGTATCTGTTTTTCAGAGTTCACTTTAAAAGCCAAAGTTGCAGAGCAGACAAACGGACCAGGAGCACGTAATGTCATCCTCAACATTAAGTCACTGAGACACAGAAGAGTCTGTATTAACGAAGCAGTCAGAGTTTTGTGAGTGATATTTCCTCTTTCACCAGCATAGTCTTCGACAAGCTGCTGAGAGCTGAGGAATAAAAGCCTGAATAATTCAGTGGTTTACCATGAACTGTGATTGCATGATTGTTACTGGCTGGACTTTGCTTAGGAGTAAGCCTGGCTTTTGTGCATATGAGCAAGGTCTTAGATTGCTCTGTGTCCAAGCCCAGTGCACTTGGCCGTCCAGTCACATTTCACAATGCTTTCACTATGAATATTCTAAATGAGACTAGGCCTTCATGCGGGAATCGGAAATGTCATTTCGGCTAGGGTGTGAATTACTGGCTTAATGGCAATTCTGTCCCAAAGACGGTTCAGTCATTGAAGTCCAAAGCAATGTCAATTTATTTTAAATGCTTCAACTCAATCTGATTTCAATTTGATTCAATAACTTTGTTAATCAAAACTTTCAGTCACTGAAGGAGGTAAATGAAACAGTATTAGACTATACTTGGCCTTCTAAAGAGGTGGAAAAAATGATGGACAGTGAAATTAAGAAACTGTATTATTTTAACATAAAGATTTTTTCAAAGTAGCACTTCTTAGATTAATACTTGCGTTTCAGGATGTGTGTGTGTGTGGGAGTGAGATATCAAGTCTCAGGCTGTGCTAGAATCTCTCTCAAATGGCATACTTGAATACAGAAATACCTTCTGGAATAAAGAATCCTCTACTATAGAGACTTAGAGACCTGGCATCTGAAGCGTACGTCAGATGTAGCAGACTAGCAGGATGATGATCGGCCGTTTTTTTGTAAGAATGATTCTGGCCCTTTTGTAATAGAAAACATATATACATGTTTTGATTCAGTCAAATTCAGCCATTTTAAATAGACTCTATTCAAACACAAAGTTCTATATAAAACTGCTACTACAGAATCAATACAGTTAAAATAGTAGAGATGTGAAAGCATGCATTGTTTGAGAGAACAATTGTTACAACTCTGAAACATCTGGGTGTCCCCTGCACATCAGGACTTTCGGAATAGCCTGGTGTCCCCATCCTGTCCCTACCTCTCTCTCTCTCTCTCTCTCTCTCTATCTCTCTCAGTTAGTTGCAGGGTCAGAGTTAGAAATCTGAAGGCAGTGAGTTCTAGAAATAGATTTTCTGTTGTCGGGGTGATATTTATAGAAACATCAAACAACTCGGATTGGAAACAAGCTGACCTCCATTTTTCAAGCCTGCCTGCCAGGGGAGCACTCCATGAGTCAGGGCAGACCCCTAAAGATTTCCCTTACCTTCACCACAACTGTCGGAGCTATGAATTCTACATCACTCTGAAGAGTTATACTGTATGACTCCAGCTCTACACAGTTAGGAAATCCAATCAAACTTCACCATTGGCACGATGGGCATTATATTTGAGCTATGTCTGAAACTCGATGAATTTTAAAAGGGTGGAAACTGTGGGCTTATACAGTTTGCAGGTTCCCCAGGCGAACTATTGAACTTGCTTAGTATGCAGCAGGAAGCACTGCACAGGTTGAATGTAATGTAGATGAATGTCTGCCTGTATAGGTGTGTGTATGTGTGTGTGTGTGTGTATGTGTGTGTGTGTGTGTGTGTGTGTGTGTGTGTGAGAACGCTCTGTACGCTACTGTATAGTGTACTCAAGGGTAAAATAAAGGCCTGACATGCTGTCCTCTACATTTCTAACAATCTGTTCATGTAATAAGGTCTTGTTAGACATCGTTTAGAAACATGTGTTTGATCAGGCTCAGGCTGGCTCTCCTCCTTTAGGGGTGAGTTCATTCTCTCCCTGCAGATAAGAAGCCAAGTGAGTTCATTAGCCTAAGCCATTTGAGCAGTGGTCTGCATGATACTTTTTACCACAGGCAAAACCTCAACCTAGTCCCCATCTGGCAGGCAATGGGCTTTTATATCATAGATTTTTTCTTAATAGCTTTAATTTATTAGTTGCATCTAAAGCTACATTCAAACTGCAGGTAATAGTGGCACAAATCTAATTTACTGCGCAAGTAAGATTTTTTGACTGGTTGTTCACACCTTTTTTATACATCTTTTTTCATTAAGGCCTATATCTGACATTAGTCTGAACAGATTACATTTCTGAACTGACCCACATGTGCAGAAGAACAATTCTCTGCCCAGCTCGCTCATACAACAAACCCAGCCTCTATCCTCTATCTTTCTTTAAGAAGAACACATACCATTCTCATGATGTAACCAACTGCTACGTTAAACTGGGAGGACAAACAAAGTGACTATGCTGAACAAATATTACAGAAAACAACAGAAATTGTGAATTTATGATGAAGACTGAGTAAGTAAAACCTGCATGAATTCTGATCTGACTGTTCAGACAAGTGTCACATTGCCACATTCGGACTGGATTTCAGTACCACATGTGAAAGTGGCTCAATCTGGCATTTAAAATGTCAGATTCAAATATGTTTTTGCTGTTCACTCTGCCACACAACAACTCTCGCATGTTAAAAAAACAGATTTGGGCCACTTTTATTTGCAGTTTGCTAAATGCGTTTTTGAGTAAGCATCTCTTATTTTGAGACGTTTATATCAAAAACTACACAGATGTGATTTTTTTTTGGGAAAAGAATGTCTTCCAGTGCAAAAAGACATCCTTTAAAAATGGAGGCATTGGGCAGGCTGCTTTCAATTTATGAGTGCCTTCACTGACAGCTCAGATCTCTGTAATTCAGTCTGAGCTACTTTTGGTCATGCAGTATCACACGTGACGAGCAGAAGACAAAATAATCCTTCCGATGTTTGTCAAAAGTTCTAATTGCTGGCACACAACTGATCAGTTATCTTAGCCATTGCTATGCCAGCGTTGGCTGTTACTGGTCGAGTGAGTTTATATATCAGAAATCAAACAGTGGGCAAATGTAATGTCACATTTTTGCCTTCCTTAAAACTGTGGTTGGTCTGCAAGATCGCAGCAGTTATACACTTGTTTTAATTAATTTACTGACACCTGAATAAATCATACAATAACTCATGCTCTGTGTGTAAAGGACTTTACACCGCATTTTAAACATTTTTTGACATAATTGTTAAACATAGTGTTTTTTATGAGCCTACAGTGAGAACAACTTACTATTAACTAGGGATGCCTCGATACCATTTTCGTCAGATTGTGTACGTTGTGTGCAGAAAAGCCTATGATATATACTCACACTGTACAAAAACAATATTGTCTATGGGCAATTATCAATAAAGCTGTTTCATTCAAAATAACATGCTGCACATCCGAGTACTGAGCAAACATGCTGAGAAACTTAGCAACAGCAACTCAGCTAACCACACTGTGTACTGAAGCTAAAATCAAGCAGTGATGTATACTACTACACCATCTCTCTACAGCTCTACAAAAATAATAAAAAAACATGCCTCGCAATTCTGTTCAGTCAAAACGAGTAAGGTCTGCATATATGGACTTTGGTAGCAAATGTCAAGTTTTTCACTCCCATTGCGCTAGCCTAAATGTCTCCACCCATAAGTAGTTGTGACTGTGTGTGTTTACAAACGTTCTAAAATCACTCAGCATGTGTGTCTTGCAGGAATATACCAAGGCAGAATATTTAAAGTGGCCAGTGACTTTATGTCCAACCACAATGGTGTCAGTAACTGCTGTGAATGCAGACCCTCATTCCCTGCCATTATTTGTTATTTGTTCATTAGCAGGGCAGCGTACACTTACATCACATGGTATCAGCTGGTCTGCCTGTTTATGAGTTTGAATATGAGTAAAGAGGCACGGTATCAGCCCAATGAACAATACCAGTATTGGTATCAATGCATCCTTACTAGTAACTATTGACTGAGGCTACTACAACTAACTAGGATAACTTAGCAACTGCTTTCTATGTTAAAGCTTCAGTCTCAAAGACACTGTACGTAAAAGTGTGTGTTACCTTATCATAACAAAGGTTTGGGTTTCACAATTTGGTTTTAACTGAATATTTGTTAATTTTATGAAAGTGTAATTTAATAAAAAGTAACAGTATAATTTTTGACTAGATT